ATATTAACCATGATAGAGTATTGGTTTAGCTTCCTTTTACTAAACCAAGTAGATTTAATTTGTGTTTCCGGTTTGTACATTTCCGATTTTGTAGAGTGTATATAATACTTGTAATTGATACATTTTTCATTAAAAAAGTTAATGAGAAAATACATTTCACAGATATTTTCTCTCCTGCTTATACTTTCTGTTATGGACCACACTGAGTTGCCTATTCGACGCTATTATAAAAGGTTCAATCACCGCATGCGTGTGCAACCTGCAAATATCAGAAAGTAACCAGAAATCAAGTCTCGGTCCTTAATCTAGATGCTAGATGTTTAACGAGTTCACCATTTATTACCAGTGGCTTATAAGCCCGTGATAACCAGAATCATTAACCGCAGCGTAAGCCTTAGCAAGCTGCTAAACCGTTCCCTCGGGGCCTTCCTCTGCTGGTGTGAAAACTTTACTGATCGATCCGTGTGATTCGCCTTGTTTGTTGGGAAGACTCAACTCTATGGCTAGAGGTTTCAGTGTTCCGTCTTCTTGAAACAACAGAAGGGTTCGGGTCGCATAGATTTTTGTGTTTGTTAAGTTTATCCGTGTCAAGAAAGGCATCAATGTGGTGATGATCCAATATGTATAGCTTGTTCTGTTCCAAAGCCTATTTATATAACACGAACAAAACCAATATGAGTTAACTACTACAACAATGGCTCGATATAATGATGAAGCTGTTACTTGTGAGACACAAAAGTTATATTATACTTACTTCTTTTACATTGAGACCATTCATGTAAGGTTTTACTTGCTCTTCTCGTATGGAACTGTGTTGGTTTCCATACTTTGGAGAATCTAGATTGCTCTTTGGAGGGGATTCCTGGATTTTGTTTTTTGTATATTCATATTATTACAATACAAATCATTAGGAGATAATTCGACCGTTTTGAACAATTAAAAAAAAATGAATGATTTGATGAAAAACTAATAAACCTGGAGACGACTAATCACCACCGGATTGAGGTCGGCTAGCATTTCCCTGGCAAACTCTTCGTCGGTCCTCCAAACCCTTTCTACGACAACATTAAAAATCATACACTTCATTGCAAAACTCAATGGTTACTTGACCGATACGTCACCATTTTTATTAGACCCTAAGATCGAGAGAAGACTGAAACATTACTAAACCTGAACATATACGTGCCAAGGGATGAGCGGTTTAGTGATGTGAAGTTCTCAGAGTTCCCGCTTCCGCACTCAATTCAGTGATTCAAGTTCTCGCCCCTGAAATCACTGTTGTTTCCGACAAGACAATCAATGAGTTTGACACGTTTGAAAACATTTTTAACCTCTACGATAGTTGTCTTAAGCGCTGAAATGTTAGCCAAATGGTTGCTGATTTTGACAGATTTAACGTTATCACTAGAGATTCATA